TCTCTCTTTCTTTCTCTCTTTCTATCCGAATGTTAAACGTGATCATACACCAGCGCATTCGTCGACTACGGAGACCGACGAGCCATCAGCCAGATGGTACTCGCACAAAGCAACGCGACGACGTGCAGCAGGACGCCCGGCAGGAGGCAGGTCGTCCATTTCCAGACGCTGTGAGCTACTTCTCGGGACACGACGCGCGGATTAATAATTTTTTAAAATCACTTCACATCGGGATCGAGGAGTTTGCGCAAACGGGTAGTCGGGCGTTGTTGATTCAGCGACATTAAAGGGACTTTATCTCTCGGGGATTTTGCTCTTAACGAGTATTTAGTTTCACCATTCGGGCGTTGAAAGTTTTCAAGATCGCGAAACGGCCCTCCCCGAGTTCAATTTCCCTTCTTTGCCTCCACCCTCTCCTCCCTCCAAGTACCCGCAATCCATAATAATGGCGAGATTTGTCGGAACGTGCATGTCGTATAACAAAGGTCGCTTTTTCAACGAGAAAGTAACGCGCAGTTACATTAAAACGGCCAATTCGATATGCCGCGGTATTCGACCATTACAATGTCTTCTCGCGAAACGTACGGAGAAAGTTAGGAAAACTGCTCGCGTCCGTTCCCTCTCTCTCTCTCTCTCTCGTCGGACCGCGTCCGACTATCGGGGTACACGTGCGATATGTGAAACGATTTGAGAATGGCTCTGCTATTTTTTATTTCGCATCAACCCGCCACGGTACGTAGCACGGACCGAAATAATGCTCCGTGCGTGCGTGCGCTCGCACGTTTGCTCCGACAAATGCGCTCTTGCCCGTCTCCCATCTCACTCCCCCGCCTCTGCCAGCCCTGCCTCTTTTCCGTCTGCTGGTAATATAAAGAATTAATTCCTCGGCCGTTTCTCCTCCTCAACGAACAGAACGCCCCGGGCTGGGCCGTATCAGCGCGAACGTGCCGTGGCGAAAATATTTGACTCGAAGAATCGGTAAGGAGAGCCCTGGGTGCTGGTACGTGGGGTACGTGAAAATGCGCGGTAACGCGGGGGGGGGGGGGGGGNAAAAAAAACGGATGTACCGAACACGGCGAGAATCCGCGGTGAATAATAAAAACGACGCGCGCCACGTCAGAATACAGCTTCGTCCCGTGTCCTTATCGCGACGTGATTCGATCGGTAACGACCGTCACTTATCGTTCTTAATCCACCTCCTCCCCTCCCCACCGACTGAAATCGTTTCTCCATTACGGATACGGGATTACAAATTAGAGGCAGCCCCGAACGAATCGCTTAACTCGATCACGTCCTCCGCGAGAAACGCGAATTTGATTAAACGATTCGATCGGACGTTGTTTCTCTTGTTTTATTTTTTTCCCCTCCTGTCCTCTATCGCGAGAAGCCCGGCGCGATTATCGTTTCGAATTAAAATTCCGTTAAGGTATGGTCTATCCGCGAAGACGCATCACCGTCTGTGTGTTCCGTATCCCCCCCCCCCCC